TTGGAAAGATACCCAGCAGAGGGATGGCTGGGTCAAATGGAACCTCCAGTCCAAGCTCTTTGAGGTATCTCCATATTGATTTCCATAGTGGTTGCACTAGTCTGCACTCCCACCAACAATGGAGGAGGGTTCCTTTCTCCCCACAACCCCGCCAACATTTGTTATTGTGTGATTTCTTGATAGCAGCCATTCTTTGTGGGGTGAGGTGGAATCTCAGTGTTGTTTTCATCTGCATCTCTCGAATGACCAGTGATGTGGAACATTTTTTCATATATTTTCTACTGCATGCTATTCTTAAAGTAGAAGTAACATGAAAAATTATTGTGGGAAACATGTCCAGCACATTCACAGGTAGTAGTCCATTTCATATTTAAGGGGTTTCACCTAGTTTGCTTATACATCCTGTTTCCTTATTTCAGAGAATTCAGAAGCTTGCCCATTGATTTATCATTTGATTTCTTTTTATCACCCAATAGTACAGTTATCTGCTTATTTTCTGTCAGGCAGCTACATCAAAATCTTACTAGCTTCGGGCCTCACTACCATCCATAAGTAAAGCTGCAATATAAAAAACTTTATTTTAAAAGCAAATACTGCAGTATGTAATATGCATTTTTGTATTATCATCTATAGAATTTTTTGTATTATCATCTATAGAATTTATTGGATGTCAATATAATTATACCATTCTTTTTTCCCTTTAATTCAGATTTTAAAAATTGCATTTATAGTTTGAAACATAAAACAAATTGATTACTGTTTTGACACATGTATTTGTATAAACCAGATTAACATCTATTAGAATTTATTTATAATCAAAACATTTAAAAATAAAAAATAACACTGTACTATGATAATTATGAAAGAGCTAACAAGAACATTAACAGTTTTTGTCTTCTGACCATGGTGTTTACAATTCAGTGGATGTTGTGTAAACTATAGAATGGACTGGAAATACAGTTGTCTTTTGGCAGTATTAGGACTGAACCAAGGGAGCTTTGCACTGAGCTATGCATCCTCAGGATTTTTTTCTGAGACAGGGTTTCATAAATTGTTAAATTGCTCAGGCTGGAATTGAAATTCTCCTGGCTCTGCCTCCCAGATTGCTAGGATTACTGGGTATTATGAAATCTTAAAATACTTGAACATTAAATGACAATTACTTTATTTAATTTAATTTATTTATTTTTTTGGTACCAGGGATTGAACTTGGGTCCTTGCACTTGCAAGGCAGGCCACCGAACCGCTAAACTCAATCCTCAGCCCTACAATTACTTTATTTTGAAAATTAAGATAGCTTTTTATATTTGAAAATACTTTCAGTGAAGAATTACTGTATGTTGAAAATTAAAATAGCTCTTTATTTGAAAAATGTTTTCAATGAAGTACCATAAGATTGATGGAATTTTCTTTAAGAACATTTTCATTTACAATTATTGAACAAGAACCAGCTGAAAAAAAAAAAGTAATGGTTTGAGAGGAAAAATACCATGATATACATTGTCAAGGTTTTCTTCCAACTGTACCATTGATTTTTTTAAGAAATCATTTTGCGGTTTTTTAATGTCTATAAGGTCAGAAAGGAAAAATAAAGTATTAAAGTTTAAGGTAATGAGGCTGAACCTCTTGGTGTAACCCTGAAATCCCACGACTCTTGGAGGCAAGAGAATGAAAAGTTTTTACGAAGTATGAAAAGGCAAGATGAAAAGTTTGTACTAAGTATGAATAAAATTAGCGATTTAGTGCTAACCTTTAAAAAGCCTTACGCTATATCAAAGGCCTTGGGTTCATTTGCTGCTACAGCATAGGGACTTAAAGTAACAAAAATTAAAATACAAGACTGGGAAATGATGTGTAATTGCCTAGTGAATTATACAAATTTCTCTATTTCCCCCCATTCTTTCTCAGATATTAGTTTTTGTTGTTGTTGTTGTTGTTGTTGTTGTTGTTTTTAATTTGGCTACGTGGTGTGGTTAAATTACCCAAGTTAGTCTCTAATTTGCGACCCTCCTGCACCTGCTACCTCAGTCTGGGATTAAAGACCTGTATTCCATCATGTCCCACTCCAAAGACACACTTTATTAAGTAGTTTGTCAGAAAACAAATTTATAGTTTAATCTGTTACTGTTATTTGCAGTTGTGCAAAAGTTCATAGAGAAATGTTAGTAAAACAAATCATTTCAGTATTCTCAAAACCTGTCATATAAGAAAATACACTCCTCTGAAAATCTTTATATATAGAAAGTTTTCAAGATCTAACTTCCCTTTTCTATTCTCTTTAAGTGAGGCCACCAATCTTATTTAAAACTTAAAGTTTTGGTGTAGGATTGCTCGCACTTCCCATTTTAGTTCAGTTTTTCCCCCTTTAGAGATGGCAAAGAAACATGGGGGCAATTTATCTTCTTTCTTAGCCTCGATGTTGATTTAAGTCCTCCGAGGTCTGGGTACTTTGCCCCAGGCTAGGCGCGTGTGCTCCTGGAGGAATAATGCTTTCAGAACCTTGCGGGGGAGGCTCTCGCCAGGCCAAGACCTTGATGGGAAGTGGCTCCGGCAGCCGCTTTCGCGCTGGGGTCTTCATAATGCAGCCCCACTCGAGCTTCAAGGCAGAGGCAGTGGCGGCGGAAGGAACGCATAAGTGGAAATAAACTGTCATTTTTCAGGGTTCCGGAGACCCCCTTACCCAATACAGTCTACTGGGCTCCCGCGTCACCTGGCTCTGGACACCCACCGGACCGGTGGTGATGGGTCTATCCTTCCGCATTTTCCTGGGTCTCTTCCCAGGCTATGACGTGACGCGCTGACGGCGGGCCTGTGCGGGGGAACTGGGCCGTTTTTTGTCAACCTCCAGCTCGGCCCCTCCTTCCCTTCGCCCTCCCCACCAGTCGGAGCTCGGCTCAGTGCTACAGGAAAAGACCGGCGTGCAACACCCGTCACCATCGCTGGCTGCCGGCACACGAGTCGGGTGAGTCCTACGTGCCGCTGCAGCCGTGAGACCTAGTGTACGCGTGGCTGCCTGCTCTTGGCCTAGATTGCCGGCTGCACACCAAGCTGCAACAAGGAGGCCCGAGGAGGCTGCAGTTATGCCTGGGGAGGGGTCTGGCTACCCGGAATGGCAGCAGCATCGCGGGAGTCGGGGAAGGGTTGTCCGATGGTCCCTGAGGCTGTTAACAAGATTTCGAGTGGGTGTCGCGGCCTACTAGGTGCACGGTTCTGGAGCTAGGCCTCGCGAGATGGCGAACCTGCAGGCACGGGGTGAAGGCCGCAGGCTGGCAGGCCAATTTTCTCTATGTAAATATCGGCGAGGGTCGGGAGTGAAATGGGAGGCGAGACGTCTGCAGTTCCGCCGCTGAAGGGCCTGCTGGGAGAGGGAGCTACCATTTTGAGGGCGGTGTTTGGAAAGAAAATTTCTTTACAGCCTTTGGTGGGTGGGGTATAAGAGCGGGTGGGGGTGTCCAACAGTCACTGTTACTGTAGGCTCAATGCATCGGAGTTGTTCGCTCCTCGCGGCGGCCATTGCTACAGCCTCCGTGTTGGGTGCTCGGGTTTTAAGCGCGCTGAGTCAGCGCCACCTTCCTCCTGTCCTTCTCTCAGCCCCTTGACAGCTGTTTCGTTTTGTTTCGACTAGTTGCCGCAGGCCGCAAACCCTCTTGCTGGCCTGTTGCGGCCATATCGCTCCTCAGCAAACCCACTTCCGAGCCTTACCCTACTTCGGTAGCTAACTACCTGAAAGTTGTCAGGGTGGATGGCAGCCGTGCAATCACCGAAAACGTTTTTGCTTAAGTTGTACATGACCATTAAAGGTGATTTCAATGAGGTGCTTTTCAAACAATCTTTGGCTCCCATGACTAACAACCTAAAAGTAGAATATGTTAGAAAAAATTACTCTCATTCAGTAAATGTATTGTGCCACCCAAGAACAGGATACATTTGGAGGATGCCTTGCTCATTTACCTAGACAATAAGAGATGTTTAACGGATTAGGGAACTTTTTATATTGTCTGAGTAAGAAACGAGTTGAAAAAGATGCATTCGTTTTGAAGGACAAATGCTTTATTCGAGACTCAGTGTATGCATGATGATACTGGCCTGGTCCTGGTTTTCGGCTGTTTTTAACCTAACACTTTATATTTATAAAATCCTTTCTGAAAGCACTTTTGATTGCATATTACGTAAATTTGCTGAGTGATTTCAGTCCAGTATTCATCAGTCGTTGCAAAGATTTAAAAGTTCTTTACGTTGCAGAGCATTGCTCCATTCTTTGCCGAAATTTCATAAGTGGGATGGAGTGTTGATAAGGATACCAAACGATGAATAGGATTTTGTTACGTGAAGATAAGAATGAGAAGTGAAATGTTTTCAGAAAAGTCATTTACAATTTGGCTCAAGTTCATGCCATAGGTAGAAAGGTGGACGGCAAACTTGAGGGATGATTCATATTCCCTTACACTTTTCCCCTGGAAATTTTTGAAAGCTGAGAAATACAGCTAATAGTTAAGCTGTTAAGTACTCTACTCCTAAAAAAGATGATGAAGAATGTTTTCTAAATGGTAATGTTTATTAAGCTACGCCTGCTTCTGTCACAGCAAAAACAAAACAAAAAACACTTTTTCTTATTATTACATTTTAAATAAGCAAATCTGTATGGTTGAAAATATAGGGATAATGTAAAAAGTCACTTTGAGAAATAGATTTAGAAAAATATTACTGACCTAAAAGCACAGTACTATCATTATGCAAACCTTGTCCTGGTGAAATTAATCACCTGATGAGAACCTTTTAATTAATTGTTAACTCGCTCTACATTTAAAGCTCCTGTTGTGGTTCAGGAAAAAAAGTCATAGAGGCAGAAGTTCCCAGACACCTGTGGAGCACTTGTTTCCTACCATTTTGTGACATAAAAACCAAGTTTTCTATTTCCCTGCACTGAAACAAGTCAAAACAGTGATGCTGCTTTGGAGTATTGAAGAGATAATGAGATTTCCATGTTTATTTTAGTGGGTCATGATTTAGAGAAGTTCCAGAAACTGCAGTTCAGGAGACAGAAGGGTGTTAGTTATACACCGTGTTTTGATTTAAGTTGGTAGTGCATTCTGTTTGTTGACTGTAGAAGTAGTTGCTTTTTATCTTTAGCTGAAGAGCTATAAAGAAGATAGAATTATATTTTGCACAGCACCCCAACAAAAGATGTACCAGTTTGGAGTCTCTGGATTTTTGCAAGATTGATTACTGTAAATTAGACCCCAACATAATAAAACAGGTAACTGTTAGGTAGTTGTGAAGCATTTTTTGTCCAAAATGGTTAGATGGAAGGTGGGGTATAATCTCAAGTTACTCAATACAGGAAAGTTCGAAATTGAAGGCCTTCATGCCAACTGTCTCAAAAAAAGAAAAAGTGTAAATACAAAAATTTTTGCCTAAGGAATAGACCTTGATCTAGAAAATGAGTATAATATTAGTATAGTTAGTATAAAATTAATATAATACTAGCTAAGTATCTTGGGCAAATGAAGTGTTTGTGTATTTTTGAAATATTTATTTCTCTTTTTTAATGCAGTACCTTACAAAAACCCTGCGTATTGATTTTTACCAGTTAATCTTGTTTGTATTACTTGTGTTTACTGGAGATCACTTTTTTGACTCCAAAGTGCTTTGAATTTTATTTCTGGTGTATCTTATTTAATTACTTAATTAAGATGGATTGCCATCTTATGTGAGTATTTGAACTTTTTATACTCCTCCAGAAGTTCCTTTTTGAAGACTTTTTTCTTTTTTTAACCCCCCCACCATTTTTGGCTGATTGGAGAATTGCCTTCCTTCTTTCCAAATCCATATCTTATGCTGTGTTCTTTCCCCTTTTTCCTTGTTGTCCGCTTTTGACTCTATTCCTATAAATGTTCTGTATTTCCTCATCTTAATTTTTTTAAACATAACTTTGAAATCCAGTATTCCTCAAAATATTCTGTCCTTGGAAAGTCCTAATTTTGGAAAGCTTAAGTGCTTTGTTTTCCAAGTTGAATGGTTTAGCACAGGAAAATTATTTCTAAAACTTGCCATTTGAATAATTAATTCATAGATACATACGGAGTTGAAGTTTCTTCAGTTGAAATTTTGTAGTAAAACAGGTAAATGTGTTCTTGGAAAAAAGTATTAATAAGTCATCCTTCATTTATGTATATAACTGACCAAAACAAGTAGCTCTGAAATAATTCTTCTCCCACAGATCTTCATTTCATTCATGAGAATGTAGGAATTCTTAATGCAACTACTTTTTTCCCTATCTTTGTCTTGGGGATCAAACCTGGATCTCAGGCAAGCTAGGCACACCTTCCACCACTGAGCTACATCCCTATTTCCTGAAAACATTTTACCAAATACAGGTGCCTTAAACAATATTATACAGTATACAACTTCTAAAGGGTAAACAAATCATGATAATGCTTATCCTTTGTTTTGTTTTTATGGTGCTAGAAAAAGTATGTATTACTGAGCAACATTCTTAATATTAACCCGTACCCTCAGTCCTTCACAGTTCTGCAGATGGAATCCAGGGCCATCACACTGAACGACATTCCCAGTATTTGTTTCAGACAGGGTTTCTCAGAGTAGCTAAGGTACGTAGGTTGGGCTTGAATGTGTGGTTCTTCTGTCTCAACCTCCCAGAGTTTGAGGATTATAGTATGTGCCACAGTGCTTACTTCTAAATTCCATTTTCTTAAAGAGGGCTTTAGATCACTGAGAGGCTCAAAATGTCAATTCTGTGCAGAAGGCTTTCAAGAGCATGTCTAACCTTAAAAAAAACAAGGCAATTGACACTGTTGATTATTTCAATCAGTAATTATGTGAAAGTTGCTCACCCTCAATTATTTGAAAGTTATCAACCTGAAATAACTAAAATTTGTTTTATATTTGACTCATTTGTGTTTAAAGAAAAACGTGCAGATCCAGTTGAAGGGTGATTATACTATTTTTCTCTTTTAGATTAGTATCCCCGTGTGTACATAAAATTAAATTAAACTATACAGAGGCAGCATATTTTGTGCAGTAGAAAATAAGGGGATCTATTTGTCTTAAACCAAATATTAAACGTGTAAAAATTAATTTTATTTATTTATTTATTTTGAGATAGGGTTTTAGTGTATATAGTTCAGGCTGACCTGGTACCCAGTATGTAGCCCAGGCTGGCATTAAACTTTTGGTAGTCTTCCCTGCCTCAGACTCTCAAATGCTGGATTACAGGTGTGTGCTATTACCCCCAGCTTAAAATTAACTTTTTAACTCAGAAAATTCTTATGGTACAGATGATAGATATAGTACAGATGAAGTGAATCAACACAGATAAGTTACTTTGATTTTGTTTTGTTTTGCAGTCGGGGTTGAGCTCAGGACCTTGCACTTGTGAGGCACACAGTGGCTCTTGCACTTGTGAGGCACACAGTGGCTCCACTAAGCTAAATACTCAGCCATAGGTTAAATTTTTTGGTAATGATACATTCTAATAATAAAATCTACCTTTAGAAAACCTCTTTGGGAGTCTCAGATTTTTTAGATTGTAAAACAGTCTTGAAGTGGAAAGGTTTGGGAAATCATTAATCTCATTTATTAGTATTCTGTATCTGTTTGAGAATATACTGTAGCTTTTCCTTTTTTTTTTATACTGGGGATCAAACTTCGGACCTTTCACTTGTGAAGCAGGCCATGGAACTACTGAGCTAAATCCCTGACTGAGCTTATCCATTCTTAGGTGCAGTTAGGCTTTCAGTTTTTTTCAGTTTTGAAGCATTACAGCTTTTGAATGTCTGTACATCATTTTGCTCTCTTGATTTTAAGACACATTTATATTGCATTTATATCTTAAAGTCCATATACATGTCAGTCTTACTGAGAAATGCAAAATTCTTGATGGCTGTATTTAGTAGATATTAAATCATCTGAGAGGCTCCATTTGTCCATATCATTGGCAAAGATGTGACAGTTTTATTTTTCCTTTGCTTTGGGAATCAAATATGGTAACTATTTTCTTTTGGACTCCTTTATGTGTACTGGTAGAGTATTTGAATGATCATTTCCATAAATTGTCTATACCTTTTTTTTGTTCCAGTTTTTTACTGGCTTAATCTGTTAGTATTATTTTTTTATTTGCTAATTATATAAATTGCAAGCACTGGGATTTATGCCTTTA